GCTGTCAATATCTTCCTCTCTTTGAAAATCTAAATAAATGTTTTCTTTTGCTAATACACTTAGATATTATAAAGTTATTGATTTACTGAAATATTCTAGTTAGGTGAAGTGTAGTTTTCATGTAACCATCTTGCCCTCAAACACCTAGAACTTGTTCGTCCATCCATTCGCTCAATCTCTCTAGGTAGGTTATGCGTTGTTTTCCTCTAACCGTCTTGCCTTCCATCTCCTAAACCTTGTTCCGCCATACATTTACTCGATCTCTCTAGGTAGGTTATGCGTTGTTTTCATCTGTCCCTCTTACCTTCAATCTCCTAAACCTTGTTCCGCCATACATTTACTCGATCTCTCTAGGTAGGTTATGCGTTGTTTTCCTCTGTCCATCTTGCCTTCCATCTCCTAAACCTTGTTCCACCATCCATTTCCTCACTGTCTCTAGGTAGGTTATGCGTTGTTTCCTTCTTTCCCACTTGCCTTCAATCTCCTAAACCTTGTTCCGTCATCCATTTACTCAATCTCTGTAGGTAGGTTATGCGTTGTTTTCCTCTTTCCCTCTTGCCTTCAATCTCTTAAACCTTGTTCCGTCATCCATTTACTCCATCTCTCTAGGTAGGTTATGCGTTGTTTTCATCTGTCCCTCTTACCTTCAATCTCCTAAACCTTGTTCCGCCATACATTTACTCGATCTCTCTAGGTAGGTTATGCGTTGTTTTCCTCTGTCCCTCTTACCTTCCATCTCCTAAACCTTGTTCCACCATCCATTTCCTCACTGTCTCTAGGTAGGTTATGCGTTGTTTCCTTCTTTCCCACTTGCCTTCAATCTCCTAAACCTTGTTCCGTCATCCATTTACTCAATCTCTGTAGGTAGGTTATGCGTTGTTTTCCTCTGCCCCTCTTGCCTTCAATCTCTTAAACCTTGTTCCGCCATCCATTTACTCAATCTCTCTAGATAGGTTATGCCTTGTTTTCCGCTGTCCCTCTTGCCTTCAATCTCCTAAACCTTGTCCCGCCATCCATTTACTCAATCTCTCTAGGTAGGTTATGCGTTGGTTTCCTCTGTCCCTCTTGCCTTCAATCTCCTAAACCTTGTTCCGCCATCCATTTACTCAATCTCTCTAGGTAGGTTATGCGTTGGTTTCCTCTGTCCCTCTTGCCTTCAATCTCCTAAACCTTGTTCCGCCATCCATTTACTCAATCTTTCTAAGTAGGTTATGCGTTGTTTTCCTCTGACCCTCTTGCCTTCAGTCTGCTAAACCTTAATCCGCCGCCCATTTACTCACGCTTTTCAGGTTAGTTATCCGTTGTTTAACTCTCCCTTTTTCCTTCAATCTTCCTCCTGGATACCAAATTTCCCAAGACCACTTTTCTCAACTGTCTCTTCCTTTTGTTAAATATAAATTTCATTTTTTTCTTTTCTTTTCTTTGCAACTTCCTCTTTTCTCACATGTTCAGTCTATGTTATTCTCATAATGCTTCTTTGAACCACAATTCTCTTGTTTCTCGTCTTTTTTCTTCCATCTGCAAGAAGTGACCATAATGAATAGAAAGATCATTTCACAACGTAGCTTGAACTAATTCATTTGTGGCAGACATGAAATTAATTCAAAATATATGCGTGTTGCAATACTGTATCATTTGTTTTAGGTTTATTTTTAATTTAGCTTAGGTCTGACATCTGATTGGTTTATCAGGGTAACTCCACAAGCCTCATTTTACTTCTGATCTTTTTTTTTCCCTCTTCAACAAAGTGGTTGTATTTTTTGCTTTTGAAATTAAAAATAAATCGTTTACTCACCAGTTGTTTATTATCGCCTGATGAGGCACCACTGAGTTCTGGAACAGGAAAGCTATTGTGTAGCCATTTTTAACATGTTTTTGTTTTAGTATTTGTCTATATATCTGAGATGAGGTATTATGTACACTATTTACATTATTCGGATTATTGTCCCCATCTTTGTTGCCATATTTATTACAACGTTTCGGCCTTTCAGTATCTGTCTATATTTCTGAGATGAGGTTTTATGTACACTATTTACATTATTCGGATTATTGTCCCCATCTTTGTTGCCATATTTATTACAACGTTTCGCCCCTTCAGTATCTGTCTATATATCTGAGATGAGGTATTATGTACACTATTTACATTATTCGGACTATTGTCCTCATCTTTATCGTCATATTTATTACAACATTTCGGCCTTTAAGTATCTGTCTATATTTCTGAGATTAGGTATTATGTACATTATTTACATTATTCGGACTATTGTCCTCATCTGTGTCGCCATATTTATCACAACGTTTCGTGCCTTCAGTATCTGTCTATATTTCTGAGATGAGTTATTATGTACACTATAGTCATTATTCGGACTATTGTCCTCTTCTTTGTCGACATATTTATTACAACGCACATGGCACAGTGGAGAAAGGCGTTAGTTAAATCCAGTGACAGGATCCAAAGAGTGTGAGTTCAATACCCGGTTAAGGCATTGGATGAACTTGGATAGGGAAATTAACAGGAGATAACTGATAACTGAAACATGGCACGTGGAACTAGAACCGTCTACCCCAGTGAGCGAAATAAAGGGTTCGACATTCCAACCACCTGAAGAAGTCCGGAACGTACAACGGCTGAAATGTTGTAATACATATGGCGACAAAGATGAGGACAATAATGTAAATAGTTTTGTTTTTTAATCTCCTAAAACAATATAGAGTTCTTATCTTATACCTGGATGCATCTCTGTTTCTCACTAAATTATTATTTAAAAATATATGATCTTCTTTGGCCGTTCTCCACAATTTCCTCTCTCTAGAGCCTCTTAGCATTTTTTCCTTTTTTTTTTTTTGAAGTGGGTCTCTGCCATATCCTATCTCTTTTTGTTTCAATATTCTCCGTGGGGTGGTTATGTTTTTCGACCCCTCCATGATTATGTGACCACAGTATTTCAGATATCTTTTCCTGACACTTAGCAGAAGTGTTCCGTCCAAAGAAATTCTCAGTATCCTTCTGTAGAACTACATTTGTGCTGATTATCTTTTTCTCCTCATCCCTTGGGGAGATTGTCCAACGTTCATTTCCATACAAGGGGATGGGTATCGTGTGAGAAATCCGGCACGATTATCTTTGTTACTGACATCAGCGATTTCTCCGATATAGGGGATCATGGCTCTCTACAACTTCCTATCTCGTGTGGCTCTTAGCGGTTTTCTCTCTTTACTAAGAACGCCCCGCCATCCGTTTCGCCATCTTTTCACACAAGCTTACATGTAAGTAGCTTCATTCCTTTCATCTATCTCTCTTGCCGTCAATATACCCTGTGAGTGTTTAGTTTTCCAAGCCGAATTTCCTCATTATATGTCCAAGGAATTTCAGCTGTAGTTTTTTTTTTCCGGATTTTGAATAGAAGTGTTCTTTTTTGTTGCCATTTTCCTTAAGACTTCCCTTTTACTTGTTTCTTCTGCCATTTTCTTTAACACTTCTTTGTTGCTTACTCGTTCCAAGGAATTCTCAGTATCCTTCTGTAGAACCATATTTCTGCTGCTTCTCTTGTTCTACGCTTGTTCACCTCATCCCGTGGGGGAGATTGTCCAACGTTCATTATCCATACAAGGGTATGGGTATCACTTGTGAAATCCAGCACGATTATCTTTTCTGACATAGGTGACCATGGCACTCCACAACTTCCTATCTCGTGTGGTTCTTATGGAATTTACTCTATGCAGGGACACTTTTCATTCTCCTCATCCCTGGGGAGACAGGCCAGCATTCGCTGCCATCTAAGAGGATGCATAGAACATCGTTACCCAGTGTTCATTTAAACCGTAAAACATAAATAAAGAATACATAATTTTTTAAAAAAATTTTAAATAAAAATCACGTGTTCTCACAAAAATCACGTGATGTCTCGCTCAGATAAAGTTTGTTCTTCTGAAGCTACACACTTTTTAATGACTTGTGAACAACGGTGAAAAAGACTAATTTTTTTTCTAATTATCTGATATTTAATTATAAAACTGTTATTTAAGTTGAATTAGAGCAGAAAACAGTTGTATTAAAAAGTGCTAAATACACGTATAAAGAATATATTTAACATGCAGAGCCTTTAAATTTAACAAATTAGAGCAGCCAAGGAAGCGTGATTGGCTGATCTACTAATCATATATATATATATATATAAGTGAAAAATATATAGAAAATAGGAAAGAACTCGTTAGGTAAATAATCCAAAGTACTTTAGTATTTTTGTTATTATTTTTAAAAAACAGTGCTCGATACAAATGTAGAGCATAAATATAATAATTTATTTAAAAATATGATTACAACACGCTACATATTATATTGAAGTTTTCAGTTCTTGTTTTGAAACATGAGAACTCTTATGTAGCGTGTTGAATCATATTTTTCAATAAATAATTATATATATATATATATATATATATATATATATATATATATATATATATATAACTATGATCCTAAATAGCCAGGGAAACCTACCTAGGTTTCACCTACACGGATCGTCAGGGCAAGGTGGTTACTTTGGCTTTACTTTTTTTTGAGGTTTTTTTCTTTGGACTCTGAGCTTGAGTTCTGGACGATTGTTTTTCGCCTCAATTACATGTTCTTAGTTCTTTTTTATTCCTTGAGTATTGGTTTGTTCATTTACAAGCCAAAATACTTAAGGTTTTTTCAAAAGTATATATATATATATATATATATATATATATATATATATATATATATATATATATATATATATGTGTGTATACAAATATAGATAACTATACTCGTTTCGAAAAACCCTCGAATTTTTGATTTGCCAATAATCAAATCAATCTAGAGGGAAAAAAAGGTTTTTTTAAAAAAAGAAATAGCTACAAACATGAACTTCTGCCGACAAAAAATCGCACAGATGCAGGTCTGAAGCCCAAAGAAAAAAACCCGATACGAGTAAACAATTAACTAACAAAAGAGCAGGTAGGTTTGTTTGGCTCACTAGGTCGGTCTATCTATCTATCTATCTATCTATCTATCTATCTATCTATCTATCTATATCCTTTGCCTGTCAAAGGACGAATATTTTCTATGAAAATTTCTCGGACATTCAGGCCGGTAAATGTTATTTAATACTGTTTATTATAAACAGAGCATCTATTTAAATACTTGTATCTATAAAAAAAGAACGTTAAACATAAAAATGTCTTTAATATATATGTATATATGTATATATATAATTATTTATTTAAAAATATGATTCCAACACGCTACATAAGAGTTCTCGTGTTTCAAAACAAGAGCCAAAAACTTCAATATAATTATTTGAATTAAATTCAATTAAAGTAAGCTCTGTTCCATCTTCAAGCGAACTTTTTTTATGCTCTACTTTTGTATCGAGCACTATTTTTTTTTAAATAATAGCAAAAATACTAAAGAACTTTGGATTATTTACCTAACGAGTTCTTTCCTATTTTTTATATATTTTTCACACACACACACACACACACACACACACACACACACACACACACACACACACACATATATAAAATTCTGGAGCATGCGGTCGCAACGCTAAGGTTCAATTTTTTGAAAATTTAAAAGAGAGTGCGTTTTTTTTTTATCAATATGGTAATTGGAGAATTCTTTTGTTGTAGTAGTTTTTTTTTTTTTTCAGTCGATGTGGCATGAAATAATTTGTTCAATAAATAGAGCAATATCGCAGCTATTATCCCCGAAGTTGCACGTCGGATCAGTTTTTTTTAAACCAATTATCTGATGCAGCTCAATTTATATTATATGAATCCATCATAAAAAAAACAGATTAGTGAATTTAATGATATAAATCGCAAGAATACATCTTCGCAAACAAATTTATTAAAATTACATTTACCCACGAACCTCTAGATGAATGTTATGATCCCTGTTTTTAATAAATTCAACTTCTATAAGGTCTTTTTTGCTAGTGATATTTAGCTACCCATCCCCTACGAGGGTTACATGTGGCACAAGGCCGGGTTTAACGTTGGATCTCCGAGCCCGTAGGCTCGGCCAAAAATATTCCCTCTTTGGACCCGCATAAGCGGGTTCAGGGGCATTCAACCACCCCGAACGAGAGTCTACCCCTCGTTGGAGCTTCGTCTGGGTTCCTCTCCGTCCGAAGGCAGAGAGTTCGACTGTTACCCAAGTTAGCCAAGTTAAGCTCTTTTTTTGCGAGTACTTTCATCATGGCATACAGACATCATCAAGCATGGAAATTGATTTTTTTAATTTTTTTTTTAAGCATTACGCCCCGATCAAGACATGAAGCCACTAGGATGCAGGGGGTTGCAGAAGATTTGGAGCAAGAGCAGACAGGAGTGATAGAAGAAAGGATGAGGAGAGGGATAGTGGGTAGATCAAGGTAACTGGAGATGTCGATTGACATTACATTTAAATAGTTGGAGATTATAGCTCTCAGGGAAACAGTAATTGTGAAGGGTGTTCCACAGGCGAGAGGTGCGAGGTATGAAGCTATTGGAGTAGAAGAGACGGCTACATTTAAAAGTTTCTACAGTGTAAGGGTGGGAGCGGGATGCCAGCCTCGTAGGGCGCTTGAATTCATGGAGTCTGGGAACCAGCAAAAGCAGCTCATCGGAGCAATTACCATGAAAGTATTTGTAGAAAAGACAGTGAGAGGCGACGACGCGTCTGTGAGAGAGTGACTGTAGACGAGACGCCAGATCAGGGCCACTATATTACATATCCGTCTCTGGATCTTGTCAAGAACTCCGAGGTAAACAGAAGGTGCACCAGACAATATATGGCAGCAATACTCCATGCAAGGGCAAATGGTTTATTTGTATATTTGAAGTATCGATTCGGGGAGAAAATTTCCTGGCGCGGCACAGAGAGCCAACTTTCCTCGGTGAAAGAAGCAATTGACTCAATGTATTTGTTCCATCTCAGGTCAGCAGTCAACGTGGGAGACCGAGCAGACGCAGGAGTTGCTCTCAAGAAGTTGACTATCAGACATTCTAATGGTGGGCAGGGAAGGATCTCTATAGTGATTAATAGAGAGAAGTTTAGTTTTGAAGCGTTAAAAGTTGACCAGCCAATTTCTTGCCCCAGTTAACAAACCGATTGGAGGTCCATTTCAAGACGCACGGCCTGGTTAGTTTTTGTCACCGACACTAGATTTGTTTTTGAGGCAGGGTAAATTGTAGTGTCGTCCGCGTAGATGCCAACTTGGGAATCTATGGCGTCAGGAAGGTCGTTGGTTTTCTTATATATATATATATATATATATATATATATAACTTCAAAGGTTGTTTTTATTGCATATCAATGTTTGAAATAGACGCCGCGTGTGTATTACGCGTTCTGGTATGCGATTTCGAAAAAATCCGATTAAAGTAATGGTTCCCTGCGACGTATTTACGCCTCCCTTTGTAATAGAGACAGTTTAATACAGCGTGCTTAAGTCATGAAGACCGTTACAATCAAAGCCAGGTTCTATTTTCCCCTTGAAGGAATGCATTTTTTCTAGAAAGTGCTTCTATGTTCAGTTGCCTTTCGAAAACGTAAATAAAGCAATTTGTAAAAAAATAATAGGTTAAATTTTACACTATTTACATTATATTGTCGCCATATATATTACAACGTTTCGGCCGTTGTACGATCCGGCCTTCTTCAGTTGGATGCAATGTCGAAATTTCGCTCACTGGGGTAGACTGTTCTAGTTCCACGTGCCATGTCTAATGGATTTCAGCTTTCAGTTATCTCATTCTCAAGTTCCCCACTGCCTTAACCGGGTATTGAACTCACACTCTTTGAGTCTTGTTACTGGATCTAACCAACGCCTTTATCCACTGTGCCATGAGGACATCTGTATATGAACTTCTGGGTATTATCAACTTAATGTCTCAGCAACCATTTTTACCAGAGCTCATATTGCAACTTTTGATGTTATTATTGCTTTTCTCTGGCTCACCTTATTACTGGTTCCCATATTGTATTTATTTCTAAGCTTGATCGGCCCCGGAGATTTTTGTGGCCTAGCATATGCGCTGATTCCTTAAGTTTACGTATTTTCCAATGGTGTTCTTTGTCTATGATCTCAACCTGATCCCACAGAGGGTGGTGATCTCACTTTTCTCTCCATATGACGTCAGCCACGACTGATTTTTCCACTTCCCCTCGTGTTACAGCTTTCTGGTGTTCTTGAAGCCATACCGTAAGGTGAAGGCCTGTCTCCAATTTATATTTCTTTCCACAGCTGCTTGGGATAGAGTACACACAGTCTTTAGTCATGTACTCCTCTATGGGGGAGGGTCTTATTCGGGAGAGACATCTGCGAAGTGTCGTCAAGCTTTTGAAGGTTGTCCTGATGTTATATGGACCACAGATCTTTTGTATTTTCTCTGATAACCCCTTCACATAAGGCAGGCAGACTGTTTTCTGAGTGTTGTTGTCCTCCTCTTGTACCTGCTTATCCGAGCAGTCTACCCCAGTAAGCAAAATAAAGGATTCAGTAACGACATTCCAATCACCTGAAAAAGGACGGAGCGTATAACGGCCGAAACGTAGGAATAAAAATGGCGACAATAATCCGAATAATGTAAATAGTGTACATAATACCTCATCTCAGAAATATAGACAGATACTGAACGGCAGAAACATTGTAATAGATATGGCGACAAAGATGAGGACAATAGTCCGAATAATGTAAATGGTGTACAGAATACCTCATCTCAGAAATATAGACAGATACAGAAAGGCCGAAACGTTGCAATAAATATGGCGACAAAGATGAGGACAATAGTCCGAATAATGTAAATAGTGTACATAATATCTCATCTCAGAAATATAGACAGATACTGAAGGGCCGAAACGTTGTAATAAATAATGCGACAAAGATGAGGACAATAGTCCGAATAATGTAAATAGTGTACATAATACCTCATCTCAGAAATATAGACAGATACTGAAGGGGCGAAAAATTATAATAAATATGGTGACAAAGATGAGAACAATAGTCAGAATAATGTAAATAGTGTACATAATACCTCATCTCAGAAATATGGACAGATACTGAAGGGCTGAAACGTTGTAATAAATATGGCAACAAAAATGAGGAGAATAGTCCGAATAATGTGAATAGTGTACATAATACATCATCTTAGAAATATAGACAGATAATGATGGGCCGAAACGTTGTAATAAATATGGCAACAAAGATGAGGACAATAGTCCGAATAATGTAAATAGTGTAAATAATACCTCATCTCAGAAATATAGACAGATACTGAAGGGCTGAAAAGTTGTAATAAATATGGCAACAAAAATGCGCAGAATAGTCCGAATAATGTAATTAGTGTACATAATACCTCATCTCAGATATATATACAGATATTGAAGGGCTGAAACGTTATAATAAATATGGCAACAAAAATGTGAGAAAAAATGAGTGACAATGGTCCGAATAATGACAGAAATAGAAACGTTATAATAAATATGGCGACAAAAATGAGGACAATGGTCCGAATAATGTAAATAGTGTACATAATGCCACATCTCAGAAATATAGACAGATACTGAAGAGGCGAAAAATTATAATAAATATGGCGACAAAGATGAGGACAATAGTCCGAATAATGTAAATAGTGTACATAATACCTCATCTCAGAAATATAGACAAATAATGAGGGGCCGAAACGTTGGAATAAATATGATGACAGAGATGAGGACAATAGACCGAATAATGTAAATAGTGTACATAATGTCTCATCTCAGAAATATAGACAGATACTGAAGGGGCGAAACGTTGTAATAAATATGGCAACAAAGATGAGGAGAATAGTCAGAATAATGTAAATAGTGTACATAATACCTCATCTCAGAAATATAGACAGATACTGAAAGGCCAAAACGTTGTAATAAATATGACAACAAAGATGAGGAGAATAGTCAGAATAATGTAAATAGTGTACATAATAACTCATCTCAGAAATATAGACAGATACTGAAGGGCCGAAACGTTGTAATAAATTTGGCGACAAAGATGAGGACAATAGTCCGAATAATGTAAATAGTGTACATAGTACCACATCTCAAAAATATAGACAGATTTAATTTTAATCCGACATTTTTTTTATTTGCAGCAGCAAATGATATTTTACTAGTTACTCGTGTTTGAAATAAATGCTGCCTTTTTATTTTGACATCTACTGGACTGTACACACGAGCAATATCCGGCAGTATTGGAGCTTGCGCCGCCCTTTGTAGGGGAAACAATCGTTTGATCCGAGGTACCTTAGACTACTCACACACAGAGAGCGAACAGCTCAGTAAAGTATTATTTTTCCTTTTAAGGAAAGTAGGAAATTGATTTGTTTTTAATGCCAGCAATACTTTTTTGGAAAAAAATTATTACCGGCAATAATTTTTGACGAAAATAAAATATTACCAGCAATACATTTTTGAAAAAAAAAATATTGCCAGCAATAAAAATCTTGTCAACATTAAATAACCCATTGAGGTCGATATATCGTAAAACAAAACAAACTAAACGATACTTTTAAATTTGTAAAATTCTTTTGGAGATATTAATGGTAGACTGATACAAGTTCTACTAATTAACCCATAGGTGAGGGTAAGGGGAAAGAAGTTGATTCATACGTTTCTCATGGGTCTTTATGTGTAAGTAAATATGACGAACCCGACTGGAATTTGAACACGGCTCTCCAATTTCCAATTCCAAGACAATATCCATTATACCGCCCGCACTTGGCAAGATTATGGCATGTGGTAATCCGAGTCTGCCACCCATTTAGATGTTGACCAGATTCAACGCAAGCTTAACTTCGATGAACCCGTTGTTTCAACGTGATATGGAAGTAAGTTCAGACGAAGAAGATGATAAACGATAAAAAGTTATGGAAGCACAATTGAAAGCAAAACAGCAGCGGCATTAAAAAGATACGGACAAATACAAGAATATGAAGAGGGGAAAAAAAAAGAAATTAAAAATTGAAAAAAATAATAAATAAATAAATAGTCAATAGTCCGAATAGTGTAAATAGTGTACATAATACCTCATCTCAGAAATATAGACAGATACTGATGGGGCGAAACGTTGTAATAAATATGGCGACAAAGATGAGGACAATAGTCCGAATAATGTAAATAGTGTACATAATACCTCATCTCAGAAATATAGACAGATACTGATGGGCCGAAACGTTGTAATAAATATGGCGACAAAGATGAGGACAATAGTCCGAATAATGTAAATAATGTACATAATACTCATCTAATATAGACATCTGATCAGAAATATAGACAGATACAAAGGGTCAATTTATAATGTAAATAAACATAACGAAACTGATATGGAATTAAAACACGGCTCTCCAATTTAATAAATATCCAAAAGACAATATCCATTATAAATAATTGCACTTGGCAAGATTATCTCAGAAATATGGTAATCCGAGTCTGCAAGTAATATAACGAACCCATTTAGATGTTGACCAGACAATATCCAACGCACTTGGCAAACTTGGTAGATGTTGACCAGATTCAACGCAAAGGGTGAACCCGTTGTTTCAACGTGATATGGAAGTAAGTTCAGACGAAGAAGATGATAAACGACAACGAAAAAGTTATGGAAGCACAATTGAAAGCAAAACAGCAGAGACATTAAAAAGATACGGACAAATATTAAAGAATATGAAGAGGGGAGAAAAAAAAAAGAAATTAAAAATTGAAAAAAATAATAAATAAATAAATAAAATGATGTTAACAATAAATATACGAATCCCGAGCAAAGAATTGAACAATCTGCGAAGGAAAGGGAAAATCAATAGTCTAGTCATAAAGCTGACCTCCGCCTACCTTTAAGAGACGGCATAAAATGGCCAATAAATTAGCCGAACTTTTCTTGCAGAAAGACTGCCTATCCAGATAAACAAATCAGCTTAATTTACACTGTGAACATAAAATGCAAATTTGGTGTTCCGTTTTCTACAGTCAGCGAGCAAAATACTAAACCCGAGAGACGTATAGTTCAATAACATTTGACTCACGTAAGATGATACCGAAACAGACATTATTCTCCCAAAAACAAACAAAAAAAAAATAAATAAACAGGTGCGTCATCGGATAACAAGAGATATAAGCTTAGATGCGTGGGTGTTATTTACTTCTTAGGGACATATTATGTTGAAAAACCGGTTACCGTGAGATCACTTAAGTTAAGCAACATCTAGTCTGGCCAGTTCGTAGACGATTGCTTAGTTATACCAGGAGATATAAGCTTAGATGAGCGGGTGTTTTGCGGTCATATTACGTTGAAAGACCGATTTCCATACGATCACCTAAGCTAAGTAACATCGATTCTGGTCATTATGTAGATGGATGGCCGCTGAGGACTACAAAAAGATATAATCTTGCAGGCGTGTGTGTTATAAAAAGTAGGCGGCCCGAGAACACCAGTTCTCTTTACGATTATTTTTTCCTTTTTTTAATTGTTCTATTCTTTTCATTCTCTTCACTTGCTTTCTTCTTCTTTTTCTTCTTTTTTGCTTTCTTCTTCTTTTTCTTCTTCTTTTTCTTCTTCTTCTTCTTCTTCGGTTTTGCTTTCTCCTTCGTTTTTGAGTTCTTCGTTTTTCCTTTCTTCATCGTTTTTGCTTTCTTCTTCGTTCTTACTTTCTTGTCTCCATTTTTGCTTTCTTCTTCGTTTTTGATTTCTTCTTTGTTTTTGCTTTCTTCTTCATTTTTGCTTTCTTCCTCTTCGTTTTTGCTTTCTTTTTCGTTTTTGTTTTCTTCTTCTTCGTTTTTGCTTTCTTCTTCTTCTTCGTTTTTGCTTTCTTCCTCTTCGTTCTTACTTTCTTCTTCTTCGTTTTTGCTTTCTTCTTCGTTTTTGCTTTCTTCATCTTCGTTTTTGCTTTCTTCTTTTTTGCTTTCTTGCTCTTCGTTTTTGCTTTCTTCTTCGTCGCTTTTGCTTTCTTAGTTTTTGCTTTCTTCCTTTTTGCTTTTTTCCTCTTCATTTTTGCTTTCTTCCTCTTCGTTTTTGCTTTCTTGCTCTTCGTTTTTGCTTTCTTGCTTTTCGTTTTTGCTTTCTTCTTCGTCGTTTTCCTTTCTTTGTTTTTGCTTTCTTCCTCTTCGTTTTTGCTTTCTTCTTCATTTTTGCTTTCTTGCTCTTCGTTTTTGCTTTCTTTCTTCGTTTTTTTGCTTTCTTCTTCGTTTTTTTCTCTTCGTTTTTGCTTTTTCCTCTTGTTTTTTTCTTTTCATTTTGCTTTCTTCGTTTTTTGTTTTTGTTTTTTCTTCTGCGTCGTTTTCCTTTTTTGTTTTTCTTTGTTCTGTTTTTGCTTTTTGCTCTTCATTTTCTTTTTCGTCGTTTTCTTTGTTTTTTGCTTTCTTCCTCTTCGTTTTTGCTTTCTTCTTCCTTTCTTGCTCTTTTTTGCTTTCTTCTTTCGTTTTCCTTTCTTTGTTTTTGCTTTCTTCCTCTTCGTTTTGCTTTCTTCTTCGTTTCATTTTTGCTTTTTTTTCGTCGTTTTCCTTTCTTTTTTTTTGCTTTCTTCCTCTTTTTTTTTTTCTTCATTTTGCTTTCTTGCTCTTCGTTTTGCTTTCTTCTTCGTCGTTTTCCTTTCTTTGTTTTGCTTTCTTCCTCTTTTTACTTTCTTCTTTTTTCTTCTTTTTTTTTTTCTTTTCGTCGTTTTCCTTTCTTTTTTTTTTTTCTTCATTTTGCTTTCTTGCTCTTCGTTTTTGCTTTTCTTTTTCGTTTTTTTTTTTTCTTTTTTGTTTTTTGCTTTCTTCCTCTTCGTTTTTGCTTTCTTCTTCATTTTTGCTTTCTTGCTCTTCGTTTTTGCTTTCTTCTTCGTCGTTTTCCTTTCTTTGTTTTTGCTTTCTTCCTCTTCGTTTTTGCTTTCTTCTTCATTTTTGCTTTCTTGCTCTTCATTTTGCTTTCTTTTTCGTCGTTTTCCTTTCTTTGTTTTTTTTTCTTGCTTTGTTCTTCATTTTTGCTTTCTTGCTCTTCATTTTTGCTTTCTTCTTCGTCGTTTTCCTTTCTTTGTTTTTGCTTTCTTCCTCTTCGTTTTTGCTTTCTTCTTCATTTTCTTTTTTCTTCGTTTTTTTCTTCTTCGTTTTTTTCTTTGTTTTTGCTTTCTTCCTCTTCGTTTTGCTTTCTTCATTTTTCTTTTTGCTCTTCATTTTTGCTTTCTTTTTCGTCGTTTTCTTTCTTTGTTTTTTTTCTTCCTCTTCGTTTTTGCTTTCTTCTTTTTTGCTTTTTCTCTTTTTTTTTTTCTTTCGTTTTCCTCTTGTTTTGCTTTCTTCTTCTTTTTTGCTTTCTTCTTCATTTTTGCTCTTTGCTCTTCGTTTTTTTCTTTTTCGTTTTCTTCTTTGTTTTTTTTCTTCCTTTCGTTTTTGCTTTTTTTCTTCGTTTTTCTTCGTTTTTACTTTTCTTCTTTCTTCTTTTGTTTTTCTTTCTTCTTCGTTTTTTTTCTTTCTTCGTCTTCTTTTTTTTTTCGTTTTTTCTTTCTTCTTCTTCCTTTCTTAGTTTTTGCTTTTTCTTTTTTCTTTTTTTGCTTTCTTCCTCTTCGTTTTTTTTTCTTTTTTTTCGTCGTTTTTCCTTTCTTTTTTTGCTTTCTTCCTCTTACTTTCTTCGTCTTCTTTTTTTTTTTGCTTTCTTCTTTTTTTGCTTTTCTTCTTCGTTTTTTCTTGCTCTTCGTTTTTTGCTTTCTTCATCTTCGTTTTTTTCTTTCTTTTTCGTCGTTTTCCTTTTTGCTCTTTGTTTTTTTTCTTCTCTTCGTTTTTCCTTTCTTTTTTTTTCTTTTTTGCGTTTTCTTTTTCGTTTTTCTTTCTTCTTCGTTTTCGTTTTTGCTTTTCTTTTTTGCTTTTTCCTCTTCGTTTTTGCTTTCTTTTCGTCATTTTTCTTTTTTCTTTTTTGCTTTTTCTTGTTTCTTTCTTTTTTTATTTTTTTCTTTCGTTTTTTTCTTCTTTTTTTGTTTTTCTTCGTTTTGCTTTTCTTTCTTTTTTTGCTTTCTTTTTTTCCTTTCTTTTTTTTTTTTCTTCTTCATTTTTGCTTTCTTCTTCTTTTTTTTTTGCTTTTTTCCTTTCTTTCTTTGTTTTTTTTCTTTCTTTTTTTGTTTTTTTTTCTTCATTTTCTTTCTTATTTTTTCGTTTTGCTTTTTTCTTCGTTGCTTTCTTCCTCTTCGTCTTTCTTCTTCATTTTTGCTTTTTGCTCTTCATTTTTGCTTTTTTTCGTTTTCTTTTTTTGTTTTTGCTTTCTTCCTTTGTTTTGCTTTCTTCTTCATTTTTTTTCTTTCATTTTGCTTTATTTTCGTCGTTTTCCTTTCTTTGTTTTGCTTTCTTCCTCTTCGTTTTGCTTTCTTCTTCATTTTGCTTTCCTCTTCGTTTTTGCTTTCTTCTTTCTTTTTCCTTTCTTTGTTTTTCTTTTCTCTTCGTTTTTTTTTCTTCATTTTGCTTTCTTTTCTTCATTTTCCCTTTCTTTTGTTTTCGTTTTGTTTTTCTTTGTTTTTGCTTTCTTCTTCATTTTTGCTTTCTTGCTCTTCGTTTTGCTTTCTTCTTCGTCGTTTTCCTTTCTTTGTTTTTTTCTTTTTTCTTCTTCATTTCTCTTTTTTTTTCTTTTCGTCGTTTTCTTTTTTTGCTTTCTTTTTCTTTTCGTCGTTTTGCTTTCTTCTTCTTTGTTTTTTGCTTTCTTTCTTCGTTTTTTCCTTTCTTTGTTTCTTTTTCCTTTTTGCTTTTCGTTTTCTTCTTTTTTTGCTTTCCCTCTTCATTTCGTTTTCATTTTTCTTTCTTTTTTTGTTTTTTTGCTTTCTTCTTCGTCGTTTTCCTTTCTTCATTTTGCTTTCTTTTGCTCTTCGTTTTTGCTTTCTTGCTCTTCGTTTTCCTTTAAACAAAAGGTTTTCTTTTTTTGTTTTCTTTTCTTGACTTCGTTTTTGCTTTCTTCTTCATTGCTCTTCTTTTTTTTTTTCTTTTCTTTCATTTTTGCTTTTCTTTCTTCGTTTTTTTCTTTTTTTTTGCTTTCTTTCTTCGTTTTGTTTTTCTTCTTCCTTTCTTTGTTTTGCTTTCTTCCTCTTCATTTTTTTTGCTTCTTCATTTTGCTTTCTTGCTCTTCGTTTTGCTTTCTTCTTTGTTTTCCTTTTTGTTTTTGTTTTTTGCTTTTTCTTCCTCTTCGTTTTTGCTTTCTTCTTCGTTTTTCCTTTCTTTTTTTGCTTTCTTCCTCTTCGTTTTTTGCTTTCTTCTTCGTTTTTGCTTTTTCTCTTCGTTTTTTTGCTTTCTTTTCGTCGTTTTCCTTTCTTTGTTTTTGCTTTCTTCCTCTTCGTTTTGCTTTCTTTTTTGCTTTCTTGCTCTTCATTTTTTTTTTCTTCTTTCTTCGTTTTCTTTCTTTTTGTTTTGCTTTTTCTTCATTTTTGCTTTCTTACTTCTTTGTTTTTTTCTTTTCGTCGTTTTCCTTTCTTTGTTTTTGCTTTCTTTTTGCTTTCTTCTTCATTTTTGCTTTTGCTCTTCGTTTTCTTTCTTCTTCGTTTTTCCTTTCTTTTTTTTTTTTTTTTCATTTTTCTTTTGTTTTGCTTTCTTTCGTTTTCCTTTTTTCTTTCTCTTCGTTTTCCTTTTTTTCTTCATTTTTGCTTTCTTTCATTTTTGCTTTCTTCTTCGTCGTTTTTTTTTCCTTTTTTGTTTTTACTTTCTTCCTCTTCGTTTTTACTTTCTTCTTTGTTTTTTTCCTTTCTTTTTTTCTTCTTCGTCGTTTTTTCGTTTTTGCTTTCTTCTTCATTTTTTCTTTCTTGCTCTTCATTTTTGCTTTTTCTTCTTCGTTTTCCTTTCTTTTTTTTGCTTTTTATTTTTGCTTTTTTTTTTGCTTTCTTCCTTTCGTTTTTTTTTCTTCTTTCGTTTTTCATTTTTTTTGCTTTCTTCCTCTTCGTTTTTGCTTTCTTCTTCATTTTTCTCTTTTTTGCTTTCTTCTTTTTTTTTTCTTTTTTTTGCTTTCTTCATTTTCGTTTTTCTTTCTTCTTCATTTTGCTTTCTTCCTCTTTCTTTTTTTGTTTTCTTTCTTTTTTGCTTTCTTTTTTCTTCTTCTTCCGTTTTTGTTTTTTTTTTTTCGTTTTTAGTTTCTTTTTCCTTTCTTTTTTGCTTACTTCTTTTCTTTCTTTTGTTTTCGTTTTTGCGTTTTTTTGCTTTCTTCTTTTTTGCTTTCCTCTTCATTTTTCTTTTCTTCGTTTCGTTTTTCTTTCTTCTTGCTTTCTTCTTCTTCGTTTTTGCTTTTTGTTTTGTTTTCGTTTCGTTTTTGCTTTCTTCTTCATTCCCTTCGTTCTTACTTTCTTCTTTCGTTTTTTTTCTTTTTTATTTTTTCTTCTTCCGTTTTGCTTTCTTCATCTTCGTTTTGCTTTTTCTTGCTTTCTTTTCGTTTTTACTTTCTTCTTCTTTTTTTGCTTTTCTTTTTTTCTTCTTCCTTTCTTCGTTTTTTTTCTTTTTTCGTTTTTACTTTCTTCTTCGTTCTTGCTTTCCTCTTCGTTCTATCTTTCTTCTTCGTTTTTGCTTTCTTCTTCGTCGTTTTCCTTTCTTCGTTTTTGGTTTCTTATTTTTCGTTTTTGCTTTCTTCTTTTTCTTCATTTTCGTTTTTGCTTTCTTCTTCTTCGTTTTTCCTTTCTTCTTCGTTTTTGCTTTCTTCCTCTTCCTTTTTACTTTCTTCCTCTTCGTTTTTGCTTTCTTCTTCATTTTTGCTTTCTTGCTCTTCGTTTTTGCTTTCTTCTTCGTCGTTTTTGCTTCCTTCTCTTTGTTTTTGCTTTCTTCTTTTTCTCATACTTTTTGCTTTCTTCTTCTCTTTGTTTCTGCTTTCTCCTCCTCCTCCTCCTCCTCCTTCTTCTGCAAAGTCATTTCCTCGTTACCAACTCTTTCTTTCCTCTCTCGTTAACAACCTTTTCTTTCTCTTATTCTCTCTCTTTCTCCCACTAAATCTTTCCCTTTCTCTCTTTCTCTCACTTATTGCGCTTTCATTCTCTCCCTTTGCTCTCCTCTCATTTCTATTTCCGTCCAATTGTTTTTAAGTTGCTAGCTTAAAAAATAATTCAGTATATTTTTTACGATTCTGTTGACCATAAAAATCCTTTCTTCCTCCTCTTCTTCCGAATTCCAACCATTTCCCAGCAGCCAATTTCTTCATCTTTTAATATACTCTGTTCCCAACATTTTGCACCTCCATTCTCCACATCAGCCATTTTACGATTTTCTATCGCATTATATCCAGCCTCGATTTCGATTGTATATTTTTCTCCGCCCCAAATAAAACAACATGTCTCCTCCGGATTGTCAACAATAAAAAATCTGACGTTCATAATATCAAGCCCATATCTGCTAAGTGTCAGGTTATTAAAATCTAAAATGGAGGAAACAGTTTCAATAAAACTGTCGAAATATTTGAAAAACAGCAAGAGACCACTCGGTTGATACAGAAAGAAAATAGGCCGTTAAGAAAAAAAAAGTTTTTGTGGTGGCATTCAGGACATTGGAGACCGTTGTAATTTGGAGCTCGTTTTTCAATATCAGATAAATAAATTGATAAATACCTGTATGAACAGAAACATATAGAGAGTGTATCAAAAATATATTTACAATCTTTGGGGATGGGTACCCCACGCGAAAGCAAAGAAAAAAGTCCATATGAACACATGTCTGAAGCTCTTTACTTTTTTGAGTTATTACGTTTAAAAAGATTTTTTTACAGTAAATGACGCTGTGTAGACTAGGTTACATTTTTCATTCGTGTACGTCTGTGGCTTGTCTGTTTTCAGCGTTTAACGTATGTAGTAGTGAGTTAACTGGGAAGTGTTCCGTTTAACAGTCACAGGATATTTATATCATGAGCAGTCAAACATGATTTTTTTTTTACATACGGCCGCGCGAATTGTAATGGAAGGCGAGGCTGCACGGCTGTATCAGAGTGAGTTTCAACGTCGAAAGCAGCCGACTCATCCAAGCATTTGTCCTTGTTTCGGTGTGAGGGACCCGCTCCAAAAGAAAGAGAGAGAGAGAGAGAGAGAGAGAGAGAGAGATTGTGGCATATGATGGAGCTTCAATGGTGCCATATATATATATATATATATATATATATGTGTGTATGTGTGTGTGTGTGCTTATATATATGTTGTCATCGGCACCATTGCAGCTCCATCATATGCTAAATCTCTCTATGCACACACACACACACACACACACACACACATATATATATATATATATATATATATATATATATATATATATATGTGTGTGTGTCACCATGGTAGCTCCATTATATGCTACAATCTTCATGGAAAATTTGAGGAGACCCATATCTGTTGGTAGCGACTGCGTATTCTATGCAAGATATATCGATCATATCTTCTTTGTATAGATGGGCAGTGGGGGTAAACATAGATGAAAACAGAAAACAACAAACAACACTACACACTAAAATCATCGACACCCACAACTATCTACACTTTAAGTCTTCCCACCCTAAACACCTCCAGGAGAACCTTCCCTATTTACAAGCACTTACACTCAGAAGGATATGTTCCAGCAATGTCCATATCTAGAGTAGAAACCCTAATGTACAAGATTAAAAATAAATACAGATCCCTCTAGTAACCACTTTCATCTTGACTCTTATTCCGCTATCCCAGATAATCAAAAGTCGATCTCAAACCAGGCCTAAAGATTTTGTTTGGGGAGCCGGCCGTCTAGCATATCTTAGACTTAAAAACCTTAATGAATTATGGGTAGTAACCACATTTCAGAGGATAAGGTCATCCGTAATAGACCAAAAATAAAAACAACAGGATTTTCCCAACCATGTCACAACAAAAGGAGCGTATGCTGTAACCTTATTAGACACACCAATTCGTTCACTGGCTTCACAAATCTACAACTCTAACTGTAGAAGTCATAACATAATTTACCCCCTAGAATACACACTATGCCAGAAGCAATATATGGGAAAATCTGAATGGTCCTTTCGCTACAGAATTAATAATTTTCGTAATCGAATTAAGTCGGCTCCCCACGAAATATTATTACATGTCGAGCAGTATTTCCATCTAGAAAAAAAAAATGATTTTAAAAGCCATGCCAAATTCACTATAATAGAGAAAATAGAAAATAAACAGAAATTGAAAAATAAAAATTTCAGAGGACCATGAAAACAAATGGATTTTGCAATTCAAAACACTCTGTCCAAACTGGCTTAATCACAAATTTAACAACATAGGCAGAATTAATGCATAACCCCATAAATCAAGCCCTACCCACATTTCTCACCCACACAAGACAGACATACTTGAGGAGGTGTAGAGATCTCACACAGCCATATACACTTACGCACATCATAGACACTTATCCCGAAATGATAACATACACTTAACACATGACACCCCCTTCCGAGGAACCATTAAAACTGCCAAGGGAATAGAGAGTAGCATGAATCTATCCAGCCTCTATCTTAAAAACAACTTAAAAGAGGCCGTTTGACCAACACAAGGACTAACCAAAATTAATGATAAAAAAACAAATGACAACTACAGATAAAGTTCACTTTCTTCAGAGACAGTCGTTCACTCCTGTAGTTCACTGCTACTAACAAGCAGGATTTTTTTCTCCTGATGATGGACATGCTGCCCGAAACTAGTCGAGGAATCCAACTGAAATAATAAAACAAAAACATATTACTATACAACACAGTGTGTCTGAAAATTTTAATTTCTCAAATTCTTTTTTATTGTTCAATATATATATATATATATATATATATATATGTCAATTTTAGACATTTGGAAAACGTTCATGAAAGGATTGTGCTTTTTTGCCTTTTAAGGCTTCGTCAGATCCAAAAGCAAAAAAAAATTACAACTTTTTAAAAAGCTACTCATTTTGATTTTTAATCACGTTTCTCGTGATTAAAAAGAAAGAACACATTCTTTTTAATCACGAGAAACGGGAGCTTGTGAAGAAAAATAATACAATTTCATTATTTAAACATCCACAAATACACATCACACTGATCTCATTAATCTGCTTTCAAATCTAATGAAACCTCAAACAGGGAAATGCACAATTAGATATATTTCGAAACAAATATATTTTAATATACGTTTTCCAATCGTCTAATATTTAAATCATTGTCGGGATCATAAATCCTAATCTTATATATATATATATATATATATATATATTATGAACTGGACAAAGTCCGGACAATTATTTTAAGACATTTTTATGTTTATACTTTCTTTTTATAGATACAAATATTTAAGTAAATCCTCTATTTTATAATAAACAGTATTAAACAACATTTACCGGCCTGAATGTCCGAGAAAATTTCACAGAAAATATTCGTCCTCAGACAGGATTCGAACCTGCATTCTATACGGAACCGTCATTTAGTTTAACGTGTTTTTAGCCGATTTGGCCACAGAGGAACATTCGGTTATCAAGGTCGAATTTACGGTCTTTTAAACTTCAATCCTCCATGAATATCTCACGTACATTCATATCTGCTCATGGCGTATCAAATGTAAACAAATGACGTCGCACATTATGAAATGGACAGAGTCCGACAATTATTTTTAGACATTTTTATGTTTATACATTCTTTTTATAGATACAAATAGCCATTTTGTTTCAACGCTTCTGGTGTAGGACAACAGAAGTGTTGAAACCAAATGGCTATTTTTGTAACGATTTTATAACATATTTATGCTATAATTTTCGAATAAATTATATTTGCTCTACTCTGTATTGAGCACTCTTTTAAGAATAGTAATTGTTGCTTATTGGAAATTATCCCGTATACACCAATCCTACACTTGAAGATATATGTGTGTGTGTGTGTTATTGATAACGGTTATAAACTTCTGGAGCGTGCAGTCGCAACGGTAAAGTTGAATTTTTTTAGAAAATTTATGTGAGTTCATTTTTTTTTTTTTACTAATTTGGCAATTTGAGAATTTTTTCTTTGTTGTAGGACTCAACGTGGCAAATAGTTCAATAAGCAGAGTAATTTCTCAGTTGTTATCCCGACAATTTGCACGTCGGGTCAGTTCTTTTAAATCAAATATGTGGTGCAGTTCAATTTATATTTCAATGTATCATTCATACAAAAAGTAAATGATATAAAATGGCGAAATCCCATCGTTAACTAAATTTCAAAGATGCATTAACCTTGTAATCACTCAATGACTGTTACGATCCTTGTTTTGTGTAAACTGTATTAGGCCTTAAATACGCAAGTACTTTCGTCTGTACGCCAAGTCATCATCAGGCATGGAAATTATTTTGTTTTTGGTAAAATTCATGTAGCATCCGATGATTACTGGACGTACAGTCGAAAGTATATTCTTTTCTCTATCTTTCGGCCCCGAGTGTCAAAAGATAATGTAAAAATGTTATTTCCGTTGTCAGGGACAAGAATCATTTTTAGGCTAATTTTTCTTGAATATTCTGTAGTTCTCTAAACACTTTTAAATATGCACGTATTACGCTTATATATACATTTATCTATCTATCTATCTATCCATCCATCCATCTATCTATCTATCTATCTATCTATCTATATATATATATATATATATATATATATATATATATATATATATATATATATAAATATATATATATATATATATACAAATATATATATATATATAATTAATTATATTTAAATATGATTTATAAGAGTTCTCATGTACAAAAACAAGAGCTGAAAGTTTAATATAATTTGAATTAAATTGAATTAAAGTACTAAAAAAATTCGCTTGAAGATGGAACAAAGCTTAGTACTTGAATTAAATTAATTCAAATAATTATATTGAAGTTTTGGCTCTTGTTTTGAAACATGAGACCTCTTATGTCGCAAGTTGAATCATATTTTTAAATAAATAATTATATTTATGCTCTACTATTGTATCGCGCACTATTTTTAAAAAAAATAACAAAAATACTAAAGAGCTTTTGGATTATTTACCTAACGAGTTTTTCCTATTTCTATATATTTTACACACACACGCTCACACACACACACACATATATATATATATATATATATATATATATATATATATATATATATATATAAGAAAAAAAGATGGAGTAAATATCTTTTTATAAAAGAAATGTGCTCAATACAAAGTGAACCAAAATATTATTATAATATTTTATTATAATAAATTACAATAAAAACATTTTACATCGCTACAAAAAAACTTTCGTGTTTCAGACGATGGTAGTTGCTTTGTGATCAAAAATAATTTATTAGTGAAGTTTAAAAACAAATATTTGCCTCTTTTCGTGAATTTAAGGGAGGCCTAGTGTCAGAATTAAACTTACGAAAAAAGGTAAAGATTTGTTTTTAAATTTCACTAATAAATTATTTTTTGTCACAAGTTATCAACAACCACCTGAAGAAGTACCATCTTAGTACCGAAACATGAAAGTTTTTGTGTAGCGATGTAAAATGCTTTTACCGTTATTATTATTATATATATATATGTGTGTGTGTGTGTGTGTGTGTGTGTGTGTGTGTGTATTTTTTTTAAGCGTTTCATCCCAAGCAAGGCGGGAAGCCACTAGGATGCAAGGGGGAACAGGAAATAGCAAGATCAGATAGGAGTGATAGAAGGAAGGTTGAGGGTAGTGGATAGATTATGGCGACTGGAGATGTCGATTGACATTACACTTGAATAGCTGGAGATTATAGCTCACAGGGAAACAGGAGAAGGGAAGGGAGTTCCACAGGCGAGAGGTGCGAGACATGAAGCTTATTGGAGTAGAAAAGACGGCTACATTGAGGAGTTTCGACAGTGAGAGGGTGAAAGCGGGATGCCAGCCTCGTAAGGCGCTGGAACTCATGACGTCTGGGAACCAGCGAATGCAGCTTCTCGGAGCAATTTCCATGAAAGTATTTGTAGAACAGACAGAGGGGGGCGACGGCGCGTCTGTGAGAAAGTGACTGTAGACGAGACGCCAGGGCAGGGCTAACTACATTGCATATCCGCCTCTGGAGCCTATCAAGAACCCCGAGGCAAACAGATGGAATAATTACATCGAGTCAATTGCCTCGTCCACTGCGAGGAAAGTTGGCTCCCTGGGCCGCGCTAGGAAGTTTTTCTCCCCTGAGTCGATCCTCCAGATATACAAATCATATATATATATGTCTTCCCTAGAAAGTGCACCCACGCGTGCATGTACACACGCACGCTCACACACAACGACACTTTTCTTCTCAGTAGTGTACACATAGCTACAGACGCACTTTTCTACCTAGAATGCACCCACATACAAAACTTTCTTCTCAGTAGTATACAACTACATAATTTCCTTTCGAGAACAAAATACATACTGCATTAGGTATGAACAGACATAGTTTGATAGATGTACACAATATTATATATATATATATATATATATATATATATATATATATATATATATATATATATATATATATGTATATATGTGTGTGTGTGTGTGTGTGAAAAGTGTATATAAATATAAATAAATATATATATATATAATTATTTATATATTATATGCGCGGTACTTATTAGAAAGCGCTCAATATCAGAGATAGAGCTAACATATTTGGTTGGATTGATGTGAGTTTGTGACCCTGGGTTTCACGCTTTAGCGATCGTCAGACAAACTGATTAATGTTTAAAAAAAAATTGGGTCCATGAAGATTGCGTGTATTGGTGTTATTGTGGAAGTGGTGGGGGAAACTTCGTCGCTTATGTCATCGTAGTAACGCAAACATCGATGTATGCAGACACATACATACTTGGTCGTCCGTCGGGACTCATACATATATAAGCATAATATGACATGTATCCATTCACGAGACATTTCCGCCACACTTTCAATCTTTAAATTTCAACATTTCAGCATAAAAGGCGTATGTATAGACACAACACCACCCGTATACATACATATGTCATATCCGAAACTGCCCACATATCTTGAAACCCAGGATTATGGGTCACATCTATCCAACTAAATATATATATATATATATATATATATATATATATATATATATATATATATATATATATATCAGATTGTGTTCATCTATCAAACTATGCCTGTTCTCCCTCTGTCCTCTATTTTCGTCAAAACACTCTACACTCATTTCCCTCACCTTTTTTAAACCCAATTTTTCATCGTTCTTTTTCCATACAGTTTGTCTTCCTGTTCTCTCTCTCTCTCGTGAAACCCAGGATCACAAACTCACATCTATCAACCTCTCTCCTCTATCTCTCATCTCGTTCATATCTGATGGATCTTTTATATATATATATATATCCCTCGGACGTTATCAGATTTGTTCATCTCTATCTTTTTGCTCTCTCCCTTGTTCTCTCTCTCCTGTCTCAACTCTCTTTCCTCTTAGTCCATCTTTCTTTTCACCTGACTTCCGTCTCTCTCATTCCCTCATTTCCCTTTTTTCTCCTCTCTCTTTCATCTCGTTCACTGTCTGTTGGATCTTTTTCTGACTATTCTCTCCTCGGACTCTCTCTTTGTTCCTGTCTCTATCTTTTGCTCTCCTCTCTCTCCTCGCATATTTTCTCAACTCTTTTCTCTTTCTTTCTCGTATCTTTCTTTCACCTGACTTCTCTTCTCTCTCTCTCTCCCTCTCTCTCTCTCTCTCTCATCTCGTTCACTGTCTGATGGATCTTTTTCTCCTGACTATTTCTCCCTCGGACGTTGTCTTCTTGTTCACTCCGTCTCTCTATCTTTTGCTCACCCCTTGTTCTCTCTCTCTCTCTCTCTCCTCGCCCATTTTCTCATCTCTTTTTCCTCCTAGCTCTTTCTCATATCTTTCTTTTCACCTGACTTCCTCTGTCTCTCTGTCTCTCCCTCTCCCTATCTCTCTCTTCTTGTTATCTCACTTTCTCATCTCGTTCATTACTCATCAATCTCTCTCGATACTTGTCCTTTCTTACTTTGATCTTCGTCTAATATTTCCACTGTCGTGAGCATCGATCATCTCTTAATCCCCCCTCCCTCCGCCCCTCTTAGTCGTTCATTTAATTCTACAGCAACGTTCGGAAAACGCGATAGAAGACACGAAGATCACAGAACCGTACGAAGAAAGACCGTCAGGAAACTGTAATTTAGAGCACAACAAATGGCTAGCTCTGTATATTGGTCACTTGATTGCTACCTGCCATGAGATCTCGTGGAAGCACGAGCCGTAAAGGAAGCCTTGTTAATAATCTTTTTTTTCACAATTTCAGTTTATCATTAATATAATGCAGGCAGACTTTAACGAAGTTTCGTTGATGCCATAGCCGGCTGGAAACGTTGGAAGCCTTGCGAAATCAAATCGTGTGGCGAATGGTTTCAAGTAATATTATCCTCAAATATGTATGCGAGGTTTATCCGAAAAGCGGAGATCATGTTTGAAAATCCAAAGAAATGGTTCCGCGGCCTCAGTGTGATCAGGAAACTGACAAGGTGTTGTGGCCTTGCTAGGGTCAGAAATAAAGACATAAAGAGAGGAATTGATTTAAACAAATATATTATCAGAAACAGTAATACAAACATTATACAAACGGCTTTTAAAACAAGAATGTTCGGTCCGACTGTCAGAGCTGTCTGCTGGAAACATCCTTCGCTAAAAGGCAGTACCTGCTCCTATTTATAGGTGGGAGAGTCCATGCCTGCGCGGGTAAATTGCCATAACAAGTATTTATCTATCTAATACTGCTCATTATTGTTGTGGCCTTGTTAGGACCAGAAATAAATGCAGAAAGAGAGGAATTGAGTTAAACAATTATATTATCAGCAACAGTAATACAAAACCATATACAAACGAGAGTGTTACAGCAAGAATGTTCGTCTGACTGTCAGAGCTGACTGCTTGAAACTTCTCTCTCCAAAAGGCAGTACCTGCTCCTATTTATAACTCGGAGAGTCCATGCGTGCGTGGGTAAATTACCATAGCACAAGGCGATACATTACTGACCATACGTGGACAGAAAGTCTTCTGGTGCGTTTTAGGAGGGACATTAATTCATTTCGAAGAGGTACAATAATATCTTTTAAATTAGGATTCTCTGATTTCAATGGCCGTGTTGTGGTGTTCCAGCCACTTCCTAAAGCCTCTCATAGAAGATCTGAACGTGCGCAAAAACAAGTCAGCAGCCTGTAATCATGAATCTGCCTGTCATCTCCTGTTTTGCCGCAGAGGATGACGGAGTGTGTGAAGAGAGAGAGAGAGAGAGAGAGAGAGTGTGTGTGTGTGTGTGTGTGTGTGTGTGTGTGTGTGTGAAGGTACCCGGCATCTTTGTCACAGCGTTCTTCATCTTCTCAATGTCTTCATTGGAGAACAACAAAAAGTCACAGAAAGTCACATGGGAGCAAGGTCTAGTCTAGGAGGGTGAGGGACAGTTTTGGTGCCAATCAACCATCTCCCTGTTCTCACCAACGTGTCTAACTTCTATCCATCACTGAGCAGCCTGGAAACAAATTTTGCTCAGATCTTCTTATACAACCTCTCCTAAAAAAAAAACTCTCAAGACTTCTGGAATGTACCTTTATATATATATATATATATATATATATATATCCTCAACTTTGTTCTTATCATATTTTAAGCCTTCTTCAGGTGTCTGTTGATCTGAATAACCTTTGAGAAATCAAACCACATCTTTTAATTAATCTACAGGAATGGTTGTTCTTATCCTACTGCCTGAATCTAAGGATATTTCATCTTGTTCTCCATGACACACACACACACACTCTTCAGCTCCCACCATCCACTGTAGCAAAACAGGACTTAACAGGCAGGTTCATGATGACAGACTGCTGACTTGTTCTTGTAGACTGCCTTGACCACACCTACCCCCATATACAAAATACACAAAAACACATACTGTATTTCCTAATATAGACAAGTTTCATCCCAGAAGTTTTTAGACTTTTTTCAGGGGAGACATTTATTAGTTTCAAAGAAGTACTATAATCTCCTTCAAATTAGGATCCTCTGACTTCAATGGCCATGTTGGGGTGTTCCAGCCACTTTATAAAGACTCCATAGAAGTCATCCAAAGGGAAGGTGTCCATGATCTTTGTCACAGCTTCCTTCATTGAGGAACAAGCAAAATTCATCGGGGAGCAAGGTCTAGTCTAGGAGGGTAAAGGACAGTTTTGGCGCCAATCAACCAACTCCCAGTTGTCACCAACATGTCTTTCCTTCTATCCATCACTGACCAGCCCGGAAACAAATTTTGCACATGTTCAGATCTTGTTGAATAATTCTGTGTACAGTTGCCACACCAACTCCAAACTGTACACTTATTATCTTTATAGACAGAATGGTCTCCATCTAGAAAATTGCAAATTTTATTTGTCTTCAGGTTGATGTTTTTTTTTTGTTTTCGTGGACTGTTCTTCTTCAATTGCTTCATTAGACGTGAGAAGAAGAAAAGTCTTTGAGCATGAAAGCCTTGGCTACGAATTGTTTGAGTTACACCATGGGGCACCACTCCATGGCACACACACACCCTTCAGATGCCACCATCCGCTGCGGCAAAACAGGACTTAACAGGCAGGTTCATGATGACAGGCTGCTAACTTGTTCTCGTAGCCTGCATTGATTGCCTACCCACATATATAAAATACGCAAAAACACATACTGTATTTCCTAATATAGACAAGTTTCACCCCAGAAGTTTTTAGACTTTTTCAGGAGAGACATTTATTAGTTTCAAAGAAGTTCAATAATCTTCTTTAAATTAGGATCCTCTGACTTCAATGGCCATGTTGGAGTGTTCCAACTACTTCGTAAAGACCCCATGGAAGTCATCTAAAGTGAAGGTATCTAGGATCTTTGTCACAGCCTCCTTCATCTTCTCAATGTCTTCATCGAGGAACAAACAAAATTCACAGGGGAGTAAGGTCTAGTCTAGGAGGGTAAAAGAGAGTTTTGGTGCCAATCAACCATCTCCCTGCTGTCACCAAAGTGCCTTTCCTTCCGTCCATCACCAAGCAGCCTGGAAACAAATTTTGTGCATGTTCAGACCTTCTTGAATAATTCTGTGTACAATTGCTGCACCAACTCCAAACTGTACGCTTAATATTATTGTAGACAGAACGGTCTTCATCCTGAAAAAAAATTCTCAACAAGCTCCGACATTCTGACACCCCTCCTCCTCCCACGTCTTTTGTCGTTTCTCATCTCCTACCCACCAACCTTGAACTTTTATGCCAGCAAAGAAAAGATGCTCAGCTCATGCAAGTTTGTCCATAAGCAGTCTGGAGTATTTTATAAGTAACTGCAGCATTTTTACCTCGATTAACAAAAAACTATTGCATTGCGAGTTTCTAAACTGTCTTCATGCACCAACTGCATTCTGCAAACTAGTCACCTTTGACAAGCAGTGTATCGTAATGTGTTCAAAGATCTGTTACATCTGTCTCCTTCAATCTGGAATAAAAAAAAACGTTGGCGGGTCAGCTTATTAGATCTATAGTAATAATTCTGTATACAGTTCCTACAGCAACTGCAAACTGTACGCTTATTATCTTTACAGACACAACGGTCTTCATCCAGAAAATTGTCTCCTCACTATCATCTTTGAACCTTCTCACTGCCAGCAAGAGATCCATAAGCAATCTAGGACATTTAGTAAGATTCTGGAACGTGTTTTGTCTAGTTTAGCACAAGACATTATTGCAAAACTGGTTTCCAAATTGCATTCATATCTCGACTGCATTCTGGAGGGGAAGTGTTGTGCTGTCTTCCCTCTTAAGAGTATATGTTAGACTCTTCCGCCTACTATAAAATTAGTAGGAGAGAAAGCTTCGGGAAACAGTGAACCTGATTGTTCATCTGTCAAACTCGGCAGAGAGGAAACCGGACGAGGCTGAGCTAAAACGGAGCTATTTTGTTTTCTAATATATATATATATATATATATATATACAAACACACATATATATAGATATACATATACATGCATATATATATATATATATACATAAATATAACCTGGAATATAAGAGACCCGGACATAAGAGAAACCCGGACATAAGAAAAACACGGATATAAGAGAGATTTTCTCTGGTCCCAAATTAGAGTCTGTGTTAATGTATATAAATTAGACAAAACCCCGATATAAGAGAAACCCGGATATAAGAGACTTCTGCTCCAGTCCCGAGAACTCTCTTATATCCGGGTTACACTGTATATTATAAATTAACTGATTTTAAAATATGGTTCCTTCGCTACACAGGAATTACCATGTTTCAAAAACCGGAGTTAAAACCTTCAAATTTAATTATATAGTTAAATAAAAACATAAGTTCTGTTTCATCTTCAAGCGAATTTTGGAAAAACTTATTTTTAAATTTACTGAGTTTTAAACGCACATATAAATTCATAAGTTCCTGTTTCAAAGGATGCAGAGAAATCCAATAATTCAGACAGGGGCGGTAGCGTGTTCATTTTTATTAATATTGTTGCATCAATAAATATAAATATATATATATATATATATATATATATATATATACCTCAATCCATTACATTCACTTACGTGCTAATTCCCTTGGGAAAAGTTAGAATCCTCTTACTCTCCCTCCAGCTATGGGTAAAATCGCAGGACAGAGTGGGTTCTATAGCCTTGAATGGCAACTGGTCTAAGAGAAGGACAAGTCTGAATT